GAAATTAATAAAAATAACAAAAATAGAAACTTTAACCCTGGCTTTTTTACGGTTAAAAATCATAAAATATAAGGGTAATTGAAATCTTACCATACAAATGTAGAATGAAGAAAACAGATTCTTTTGCACAAGCATATCAGTAGTCGTGTGTGCGTAAGAGTACTCTTGCGAGAGACAGGCTGAGTTAATGCATTTATGCACGCAGCTATAGGCTATGGCATTCAAACCATGATGGATTGGTATTAGGTGACCAAACTGTGTCAAGAAAACATACACTTTACACATACACACCATCACCACTAGTCTTCAAGTGTCACTGCAGCCTCAGATTTCGATATTTGGCTGAAAGGATAGGGTCCTGATGTGGTCTTCTGCTGCTGTAGATGTATGACTTCAAGATTGGACGTGTTGTCCACTCTAACCAGCCTGGACCTGTATAAAAAACAAATATTGCCACACTTAACAGTTTCTGTCACCATCATGTGTTTTTTGAATGAAATTAACATCTACTTTTCAAATTTTTCCAGATGTGGGAGAAAAAGAGGTCCAGTTCTCTGAACCACAGAAAGCAGACTTCAGCTTTGACAGACATGTTTCCCAGCAAGGAACCAGATATAGCAGTCAGTTAAAGTGTCCAGTCTACATCTACAACTGCTCTCTGGAGCACCTAAAGGACCAACTGTTACACACCAACTTCACCCGCCAGCCCAGGGACATCTTCAGGTACTGATACAGTTGACTGGTAGTAGTAATTAGGGTAATAGATTTTCGATTAATGCTGTGAGGCTTTAACTTTCCATTCAGCATGTCTTTCAAACAGTGGTTCTGTTCAGCAGCCGAGCCACACTCACCTCTCAAACAATTCCACACGATACTTAGAGATCCAGTGACTTGCACATATATACTGACAGTCAGCAAGTTCCTAAATAAGCAAGAAGTTAAGTTAGAATCAGGCATTAGATGTTATTGCAATAAAAGTATAATTACAACAATTGTAAGAAGCAATTTTTGTAGTTGTGACTCTCTTTCCTATCAGTAATAATAAGATGATACTCACCAAGGTTATTTATGGGACTACATTGACATTACTTGAAAGAGGATAGTCCGGACAGGATTCATGAGGACTACATAATATGTAAATGTAGAAAGGAAGACAATGACAAGTAATAGCAGAAATGTATAGCACCAAAATCACTACAGAGTTAAGAGCTCATTTGTCCCCACTGTAATTGGCCTTTTATGATAATGAGTCTGTGATTTTTATATTATATGTATTTATTGATTGTCTGTTTTGCCACTTTGACAGCAACCATACATGGTTTTCTGTACAACATATACATATTCACTACATATACAGTACAACCAGAGATGATGTATTCATGTAGTGGAAGAAGCTGCTGGTTCTTCAGGTATTTTTCGCCAACTCTGTAATGCATTTGAGGATTTTCACCTGCATTAACAATCTTCCCATCATAGAAGCATCATCGTCAGGATACTGTAGTCATACAAAAGTCATGTTCATAGCGCTAAATTGGTTACGATTCTGTGGGCAACCTGTCTTAAATTGTATAGCACCCTGAAGTTCAAGCTCAATGTTGAGTATTAAAAGTAATATTGGAAGTAGTAGTTGATGTTTCACCTTCAGGTTGTTTGTACACATTGCTGTGCTTTTTACTTCCTCTCGATTAACCAGATATTTTGAACACTTCAAATGCCTGTTGTACTGATGATTCAACAAAACAATGTTCATGTCCATCCAAGCAGTACAGGTTCTTTGTAAGCTAACATTGCTGTTACCAGATTTCAGTAATTACTTTGGTGAGTATAGTGAAATGATGGACAAAGCTACATAAAAAAGACTGTTTGAAAAGATTTGCTGTGATGCTCAACTTTTAGGGTGACTGAAAGAGAATTTCAACATGACTTTTGATTAAGATCATATTTAAAGGTTCAGTGCGTAAAATTTAGATCAAAGGGATCTATTGGCACACATTGAATATAAAATAATCCTCATGATGTTTTCACTAGTGTGTTAAATCTAAATTGTACAAATTGTAGTTTTCTTTACCTTAGAAAAGGCTCTTTATATTCAACGTACAGCTGCAACATTCAACTTCACCACTAGATGTCTCTATATTCTACACACTGTACCTTTAAAGATGGAAACGTTTGATGAGACTGAAAAGTTCATTAATTTTATCTCCTCTAGGATGTAAAAAAAAGAAATAGGTGAAAGTTATGTATGTAATGTAACAGAAAGAAAGCAGATCACCATGGTCAGGTAGTGTTTTGTGGACTAATAGTCATACTAATTAAATGCAATGAAACTGTCCTTTAGAT